TTCGGATCAAGGTCTAACCATGGACCCTCAGAACGTCCAGGCGGTTAAGGACTGGCCCCTACCTACCAGCCTAAAGCAACTGCAGAGTTTTCTGGGTTTCTGCAACTTCTACCGTCGATTTATCAAAGACTTTAGCACCATTGTAGCACCTCTCACTTCTCTCACCCAACCGAGCCCTCCTGGTCAACAGTTCCGGCTCACCCCAGATGCCGTTCGGGCCTTCCACTACCTAGTCGCTCGTTTCACATCGGCTCCTATCCTGCGCCACCCGGACCAGGCAGTCCCTTTTGTGGTCGAGGTCGACGCCTCGGATGTCGGCGCCATCCTGTCCCAAGGCGGCCCCGACGACAGGCTACATCCCTGCGCCTACTTCTCCAGGAAGTTCTCCACCACCCAGCAGAAGTACGGCGTGGGGGATCGTGAACTGCTAGCCATAAAATGGGCATTGGAGGAATGGAGGCAGTGGCTTCTGGGCACCACTCAGCCGTTCACCATCTGGACTGACCACCAGAACCTAACCCACATACGGTCCGCCAAGCAGTTAAATCCTCGCCAGGCTCGCTGGACCCTCTTCTTCGAACCCTACGAGTTCCATCTCACCTATCGCCCCGGGACAAAGAACCAGAAGGCGGACGCCCTCTCCCGCCAGTTCACCCATTCAGCGCCCACGTCCGAGCCGGCACCCATCCTCCTGGAGCACCGTTTTGTGGCCCACCTTGGGTGGCCGATGGAGAAGGCCATCCAAAACGCCCTCTGGGGTGACCCAGCGCCGCCAGAGACCCCCGCCGGTCGGCTCTACGTCCCCTTGGCCTGTCGCAGTGAGGCGTTGTCCTGGGCTCACTCATCACGCCTGTCTGGTCACGCAGGCTTCCCTCGGACTCTCAGGTTCCTTAAACGGGCTCTCTGGTGGCCACGTATGGAGAGGGATGTTAAGGAATTCACGAGCGCTTGTGACGTTTGCGCCCGCTCTAAGGCATCCACCCAGGCTCCGGTTGGCATCCTCAGACCCCTTCCGGTGCCCAGCCGCCCCATGTCCCGTATGGGGCTGGACTTTGTCACAGGTCTCCAGCCGGTCAACGACCTCGACACCATCTTGACGGTCACTGACCGGCTTTCCAAGGCTGTTCACTTCATCGCCCTCCCGGGCCTCCCCTCGGCCCGACGCACTGCAGAACTGTTTCTGGAGAACGTGGTGCGCCTCCACGGGTTCCCGGTCGATGTGGTCTCGGATCATGGTCCCCAGTTCACGGCCCGTTTCTGGAAAACCTTCTGCCATCTAGTGGGAGCTTCTGTCAGCCTGTCTTCGGGCTACCACCCACAGACCAACGGTCAAACGGAGCGGGCAAACCAACAGTTGGGCCGGTACCTCAGCTGCTTTGTCTCGGCGCTGCCCTCGCAGTGGCCTAAGTACCTCCTCTGGGCGGAGCTGTCTCATAATCTTCACACCTCCTCAGCCACTCAGATGTCCCCTTTCGAGGTCTGCTATGGCTATCAGCCCCCGGTCTTTGCCCACCAGGAACCCGAAGTCGCGGTGCCTGCCGCTCAATCCCCGGTGAGGTGCTGCAAAAATGCATGGATCAAGGCGCGGGCCTCCATCACCCGGGCCAACGCCCGTTACTCCCACCAACACCTCCGCAGGCACCGCCCGGGCCCCTCATATGCTACAGGGGACAGGGTCTAGGTGTCCACGGCAGGCCTCCGGGTCCGCGCCGGTTCCAGGAAGCTCGCTCCCCGGTTCCTCGGACCCTACCCCGTGCAGAAGGTCATCAACCCGGACGCGTACCGGCTGCGGCTGCCTACAAGCCTTCGCGTCCATCCCACCTTCCACACCTCCCGGCTCAAACCTTATGTGGAATCCTCACTCCTGCCGCCTCGGGCTCCAGCGCCTCCGCCGGCCCACTTCCTGGACGGTGAGCCCATCTACACCGTCCGGCGCATTCTGGACGCTCGCCGCCGGGGTCGGGGTTGGCAGTACCTTGTGGACTGGGCGGACTACGGCCCCGAGGAACGCTCCTGGGAGCCGGCCCACTCCATCTTGGACCCTGCCGTCATCTCGGACTTCTGGGCCCACCGAGGTGGCCCGGGGACTTCAGGAGCCGTCCCTGGACAGGGGGGTCCTGTCAGAGTCCAAGCCCCCAGGCCGGGCTCTCCCAGCTGACCGGCTTCTGTCTCGGACCACATTACCCAGCATGCCCCTCGCGGGGATTCCCTCCACGTTGCACCTGCGTCATCCATGTCTATATATGGAAGACACCACACCGGCTCTTCACTCAGTCATCGTTCCACCGTGTTCCATGATCAGAGTATTCAGAAGCTAAGACAGTTAAACCTCCATCTTTCTAACTCAGACCTCATCCTTCCGTCAGCCTTTTCAGCACCGCTTGCAGCCAGCAGTCTCTAATAAAGCTCGTACTCCCGAAACCAGTCTTCGAGTCTGACACATGTGTGAGGATTTGGCAGAGAATTCTGCAGAGGACTGTAGGATTGTGCTCTCTATGTGACGTTTTTTGGGTTTTATTTCAAAACCAACATCATTCACAGAGTTATTACAGTCATAAGCACACACATTCCCCCCAACGAGTCATTTTCGTGGTTGCTTTCGGCGAGGTTCCTGCGACTGTGACTGCCAAGACGATGTCTGCTGGCTCTTTCGAAACCGTTGGCCGCCAACTCTCTGGTCCCGCTTCGGCTCCACCTCAGCGGGGGTCCGGCTCCGTGGGGCGGGCGGTGCAGCTGGGCGCCTGAAGTTTCTGCGCCATTCATCCCATCCTCTGGAGGAACGGCCGGAGTGCGAGGCTGACCGAGGGTGGACCAGGTCTCACACCATGGCTGACAGTTCAGCTGTCTTCTGAGCCCTCTCAATGACGCTCCTAAGATGGGAACCAAACAGAACGTCAGAGGTGATGGGGCCTTCCAGCATCTCCCTGTGCAGGTGTTCAGGAATGGAGGGCAGGGCCTTGAGCCACAAGGCCCGTTGGATAAGGGTCTGCCAGGCAGCAATGCGAGCAGAACCGGTGAGTACAGCAGCGCACAGATTGAGAATGGCATCAGCAGTTTTAGTAATGGTGGTTTTTGACTCGTCAGGAGCGTCAAGCTCTTCCACTATTTTGGAAACGCCAAAGGCAAGAAGGACAATGTTATTTCCTGCAGCGCCGGTGTGCGCGGTCGGTGAGCCGCGTCAGCAGCTGGTCATGCTTAGAAGCGGGAATTGCTCGTGGGCCAGCGAGGTGGTTCTTGGCGCCAAACAGCGAGGACAAGTCCAGCTCCAGTGGAGGAACGGAAGGCCAGCCTTGGTCGGAGAAGCCCCCGACCTTGGTAATGGGCGCATATGTGGAAATTGGCGCCTTGAGCTTAGCAGGTTCGGAGAAGGCGGCGGACCAGCCTCTTAATAAATAGAGAGGAAATTTGGCATACAATTCCAAAATTTATATTTGAAAAAGTTGGAGGAATGGAATTCCTATTAAGATGTGATTTTGAAATCCCGAAGTTGCCTCTCAAACTTTTCGAATTCCACAGACAAGTCCTCTTTTTTGGAAAAAATGGTTTTCAAACATAACTTCAGCCCACATGATGTTCCGATACGGAATAATAGAACTGTTTTGGACAGAACCAAAACCATATTTGTAAAAAGTTGGATGGACAGAGGAATTTGGTCAGTGACACATATTTTAGATGAAAATGGACATATTCTTTCACTTAAGAACTTAAGTCTCAAGCATGATGTTGAAATTTCTGAAAATGAACATAATAAGGTGATTAAAAATATCCCAAGTTCATCTAGTTAAAGCTTCTATCGGTTATATATTTAACCCTAGACTCAAAATATTAGCAGCTGATGGGATAGAAATTTTCAATAAAAAATATAATAATATTTTCCTGAGAAACAAATTAAACAAAACCTTTTATCCAAACCCAATACTCCGATTCTCGTTACTACACAACTTTTCAAAAGAAGAAATTTAAATTTTGAGAACCAACTATCTAAAATTCTCTTTACCCCCAAAGTATAAAGAAGTCCATTTTAAAACCTTGAATGATATTTACCCATCTAACCATTCTATACAAACTAGATTTAAGTTCTATGTGGAAAAATGTTACTCATGCAAACAAAATGATGAATCGACCAAACATCTTTTCTATGAATGTGATAAAATTTTTATGATGTGGAATTCACTCCAGGAATGGCTGAACTCCAATCAAATTTATATTAATAATTTCAGAGTTGAAGATATCTTATTTGGCATCATACTAAAAGATAAAAATACCAAATTAATCATCTCATAATCTTTACAAAAAATTTCATACACAAATGCCAATATCTCAAAAATCCACCTACCTTGAATTATCTCAAAAATTAAATTAAACTGTTGTTGAGATCCTTAGGTAAATTGTCAATGCCATGAAGCTTTATAATTTCATTATAAATACTAATCTCTAACCTCTTTTTGGATGGTATACACAATAGACCTTGTTTGCTCTTTAACTTCCCCCTTTTAAAATTTTCATTTATATACACATAGAATTTGTTTTTTCACATTTTCTTACTTGTATCCCTTCATTTTCAGTTTTTTTTTGTTGGTTTTTTGTTTGTTTGTTGTCTTCTTATTATACCAAGTTGAATAGTATCTACAAAATGCAAGTTGGCATGAACACAAACTTTGGAGCTACTCTGTCATGTCATTCTGTTTACGAATTTTGAAATGTAGTCGCTTTTGCTCGTTTGTCAAATGTTCAATAAAAGTTCATTTAAAAAAATCTTCTTCTTCTTCTTTTCATTATTATTATTGTTATAATAATAATAATTATTATTATTATAGTTATAAATTATTATTTTTTTCAAAGTGATTTTTTAAACAGCTTGTGTATGACTGGATTTAAGGATTACGTGGAACTAATTCGGGATGAATCGCTAAAATCAGAATTTAGCAACCAGAGCCTTCACTTGTGTACAGTAGTGTGGTGAAATCAGGCTAATGCGGTTTTATTTTGAAATTCTTAACCGGAAGTTGACCTGTTTGCTTGCAGCCACTTCCTTTAGCGGACAGCTCCTCTTTGGCGAACTAACGAGACGAAACCATAACATGGACAGTTAGTGAGTGTTTCGTAAAGGGACGACTGTAGCCAGCTGTTGTTTTTGTCAGTCTTCGCGTGTCATGGCGGATGATAATCAGCCCGTTTTTAGGTATTAGCTTGATTTTTTTGGAGGATAGGTTGTTGACCTTTGACATTTCCTGTGTGAAACTAACAGAAAAACCAGATATGTGTCACTACCCCAGAGGAACAAACCTGCCAATTGAACTTGACATGACATGTTTTATTTCTAACACCTGCTACCATGATTGTTAAGGTTCATCTTCTTTGTTTGTGATGTTTTAAATGATAAAGCTGTTTCAAGTTGAGTACCTTGAGGGTATCAGAGTGATCTTTTCTGTCTTCTGGTCTCAGTGAGGTCCCTGATGATAAAGGGAAGGAGAAGTACAAGAAAAGTGAGAATGTTGCTTTTTACAGGTATTATTTTTTATTTTTTCAAATTAACCATGAAAAAGCACAAAATCAAGTTTGTTGTGATTAATTTGAGGAACAGATTACATTGTTGGATGACACCTCTGTGCTATTTATTATTCAGGAGACAGATGCAGGGTCCCAGCAGGAAGTACAGGGCCCTTTTAGACACCATGGTGCTCACTGAGAAGGGAGTCTGCTTCCAGCTGGTGGAAGCTGACACTCAGGTCTGTGTGACTCAGAGATTCATTGGATTCTTCGTATATGTGTGGTTTAAATATAGTTTTTAAATAAATATAACAGTTATACTATTAAAGATGCTAAAAGAATCACAAATTAACTGATATTTTAAGTAAAGCATAACAAAAAGTAAAAAAAAAAAAAGAAAAAATTCTAACAGAATTAATCTGAAGATAAATAAAGCTCTCAATCTTTTTGATATTTATAGTTAATAGTTAATAAGTTAAGTTAATAAGATCATGTTAGTTTTTTTCTGTTTTTTAAAGACCAGATAGACTTTGTGGTCCTAAACAGTCTTTTACCTGCTCCTATATTCAGACCAAGCTGCTTCTTACTGTGTCTCCCTGTAAATGTGACACTGTGAGGATCTTGATAGATGAGGCTCAGCCTGGTAAAGCCCGCTACCGAGTCTCTGATGTGCTGACTGGAGATCCTCAGAGTGAACAGTAAGAGAGCTCTTTGGTATTTATGATTTATTTTATTTGAGCAACACTCCAGTTCCTTTCCTGAGGTGTGACAGAGCTACTCTACACGCTGTTTGATCTTACGCCTGACAGGTTGAGGGTGGAGTCACAGACTCAGGATTTTGTCACCCTTTCCTGGTCTCTGGCACAACACCAGGTCCGCGTGTGGCATTTTCCTTTCCGAGTGGAGATCTTGAAGGATCAGGAAGTGATCGTTACGTTTAACTCCAAAGGCAAACTGTGGTTTGAAAGGTTGCAGGAGCTGCCCAGGTGAGGTCCACAGAGACATGTTCAGATTCAGACAAAGAGTGTTACAAACGGCATCTTGTTTTGTGTTTGCTCTCTGGAACCTCGTCTGATGGCAGGGAGGTAAGAAAACATTCAGAGGTTCTTGAGTCTTGATCCGATGAAGAACTTATCCTTTTTCTCCTGCTTTTGTTTCAGCCTACCGATGACCCGACAGGTTTATGGAGGGAGACCTTCAGGACGTTTGTTGACATCAAAGCTAACGGTTTACTTTCTCTTTTACCTATTAAATGGAATCTCGTATAATAAATGTTAGATGTGTCTGTGTTACAGGGATGGGTTGCTTTTTGGACCCATCTGCACAAGATCATTGATTTTCCAGGATGTGTTAAACAGCTGAGCTGCTGGTTGCTGTGACGAGACATAAGCTAGGCTGAAATAAGTCAAATGAAAGTCGTTCTGTTTTACATTCTCTGTTCTCGGTAACGCTAGAAACTAGGGCTGCTCGATTATGGCAAAAATAATAATCACGATTATGGTGACTGAAATTGAGATCACGATTATTTAGGACGATTTTTCAATTTATGTTGATTTTATTTGTTTTTATTCAGTCATAAAACTGCTCAGGGCACAATCAGGACAAAAATAAGAAACAAGATGATCACTAAAAGAACTCCTGATTCCCAGGATAAAAAGACCAATATACTTATAGCTCATAGTCTATGACCCAAGGGCTATAGACCTTGAGTCTAACCAGTACAGAACCAAATACCAATATCTTGCAAATACTGACAGCAAGAATTATACAGAGGCATTTATAACAAATAAATGCAAATAAATTCATGTTCACAAAATGTTACATAACATTTATTGAGTCGTGTCAAGGTGCTGTAGGAGAGTGCACTAGCACAGTGTCCTCAGAGAGATTAGTTATCAGCGTGAGGAACTTATTTCTACCTTATTTATAAACTATTTATTTACAGGCCCATCAGTTAATGTAATAATTGTCCCAACCACAGCTGCACCCCCCCACCCCCCCACCCCGGTCTCACAGCAATCGGGCAAGCTGCACGTGTGTTTAGCGTGCTGCACGCGCACATTTAGCTGTTTTTAGCTGCTCAGGAGACCGCAGGTGCGGTGTGTGTGTCACTCACTCTGGTTAATCCAACAAGGAGCCGGCTCCGAGAGCTGTCTTTAGCGACCGACGCATCACTGCATCATTCCCTTTCCTAATGTTGTGAAGAACGGTCCGGAGCACAGGCGGAGTGTTTAGCTAACCTGCAGGAAATGTCGACGACAGTTATCCAGAAAGTAGCTAAGTGTTAGCAGAGATGTTTCCGAGATGTTCGCTAGGTACTTTTATGATTAAAAAGTCAAGAAGGGGGTCTGAAAAGCTGCTAGAAATAGCGTCAAAGTCGCTAAGTTGGCAACACTGTGGAGGAGCGCTTCATTTGCAACTCAGGGCAGCGCAAGCGGGAGGAGCAAATAATCGGCTTGTTTTGTTTTTTATAATCGTTCAAAACTCAGATCGTAATCGTGATTAAAATTCGATTAATTGAGCAGCCCTACTAGAAACTACATTTAAAGAGAAATACGACAATCAGACTAAACCCTGTACAGATTTTTACGTTTTGACTGAAACACGCGGTGCGTATACTTTAGGTCCGAGCAGCATCGGCGCTGATCTCTGCCTTCACGGGTTCAGACACGCCTACGGCCTTCCAGAACACTCCGACCAGCTGCTGCTCAGAGACACCAGGTATTCACCAGCCGCTCAGTTTCAGGTGGGTTGTGCTTCACTAACCATCTTTACAAACGGTTCTCTTCACACAGAGACGGAGAACCTTATCGGCTGTATAACCTGGACGTGTTTGCCTACGACCTGCACAGCCGCCTGGGCCTGTACGGCTCCGTACCGCTGATGGTGGCTCATAGAGCAGACAGGACTATCGGTGTGTTTTGGCTGAATGCATCGGAAACCTTTGTGAACCTTCAGTACCTCCCTACAGACCCCCAGGTAGTCCCGTCCTACTTCAGACCAGGCTGCTCACAGATCTGAGGATTATTTTTATGGAACATGTTATAGTTCTAACAGCAGAAGCAGGGTTGTGGTGTTTTGTTGTTGTCACTCACACAGACGTCTAAAAGGGGAGTGAGAAGGTTTATTTAACCTCTGAGGAACTCGCTAACCTTCCTGCAGATGCCTCCAGTGAAGAGGAGGAGGACACAGGTTCAGACTGACGTCCACTGGCTCTCAGAGAGCGGGGTGATCGACTGCATGGTTTTACTGGGGCCCAGCCCACATCAACTGTTCCACCAGTACGCCCAGCTGACAGGTGCACACGCAGCACTGAGATCACGATGCAGTTTTAGAAACAAACGCATCCTAGAAAGTAGGGATGTAAGAAAATATCGACATGGCAATATATCGTGATATTTTTCCAACAATATTATATCGATATTCAAAAGCTGTGTATCGGAAATATCGATATGGCAATATATCGTGATATTTTTCCCTGCGATTATTACATCGATATTCAAAAGCCGTGTATCTAATTCTTGAAAGAATTTACATGCAAACTTTTGTGCATTTTCTTTTCGTTTTGTGCAATTCAATCGCCACCCGCTAGTTGGCAGCAGTGTGCAACGGGTTTTGTTTCCACCATTGAACTGTAAATCCCTCCATCATGGTTCAGATACCTCATGTTAAACATGTTACGTATCAGTTTGGACTGTTTATTGAACATTCTTACAATAAATTCAGTAAAAAAAAATTGCTTGTAACGTCTGACTGAATGTATCGCAATATATTGCGATATATCGTATCATTTCCCCTGTATCGTGATATGTATCGTATCGCCAGAATTTCAAAAATACACATCCCTGCTAGAAAGGGTGAAGCCGCACCTGTTCTTCCTGTTTCAGGTTACCAAGCCCTGCCCCCCTTCTTTGCCCTGGGGTACCACCAGTGCCGCTGGAACTACGACGACGAGGCCGACGTGAGGGCTGTGGATGCTGGATTCGATCGCCATAACATCCCTTATGATGTCATCTGGCTGGACATCGAGCACACTGATGGGAAGCGATACTTCACCTGGGACTCGGCTCGTTTCCCCGAACCGGCAAAACTACAGCGCCATCTAGAGAAGAAGAATAGGAAGGTCCGTGTCAGGTCCAAATAGTTCAGCCTCTCCAGACTTTATCACCTGTGTTCTTACATGTGTGATTTTAGATGGTGGTGATAAGTGATCCCCACATCAAGGTGGATGCTGATTGGTCCCTGTACCGTGAGGCCAGAGACGGAGGACACTTTGTTCGAGACAGAGAAGGACACATCTATCAGGGCTCGTGTTGGCCAGGTAAAGCTCCGCCCACTTCGAACACCAAACTCAGACTTCACGGTTAGTAGAGACATTTTTTACCACATAAAACACTGAGTTAGCTCTAACTCCCTCAGGCAGAACCACTTCCTGTAAAATTAGACTCATTCTGCTAAAAAAAACTTAAACATGGAAGAAGAAACGCAAAAACTCCTAAACGTGCGTCCCTGGACCCCGTACTGTATGTTTATTAAAGGAATGGCTCACTAAAAAAACACTTTTAATTATTTCTGATCATAATCAGTCATTCTGAGTTTAACATGCAGACAGAACATGAAAATAGTCTCCTACATCCATCTCCTGCATTAGCTTCTGATAGAAAACAGACGGTGACCCTCTAAGATTAGAAAAGCCTGACAGATCTACGTCACACTGTCACTCAACGTTCATGGACTCACCCATCTTGACTCACGACGGGGAAGGCTGTAGTTGGATTAGCATCCAGGAAACAGCAGAGAACGTCTTGGCTAGCTAACCGTTAGCATTAGTAACTCCACCACACATCATGTTATTTGTGTAGATAAATGATAAAATTATAAATGACCCGCACTTGTATGGCGCCTCTCAGAGTAAGGACTCCAAAGCACTTTACACTACACGCTGATGGTGATGAGCTACGATGTAGCCACAGCTGCCCTGGGGCGCACTGACAGGCGATAAAACAACAGTCAGTGGTAGAGTCGTATTGCTGTTGGCCAATCAGAGGTGAGATGTTCAAATATCAGGAAATAAGACTCCAAATCCTGTCACCTGAAGCTACTTTCTCCTCCAGTTGACTTCGACATCCTCAAACAGGAGCACATGAGCCCCCCCCCCCCCCCCCCCCCCCCCCCCGAGAACGACTCACAAGGCATTCATTCCTACTAGAGACTCCTACTAATGCATTAAATGAGTGAATCACATCTTTAAGTCTAAAAGGCTAAAAGCAAAAGCGCTTCCTGTACTCTAAACAGTCCCAATAATATAATATTTATTTTCTTTTACTCCTCCTGGAGCACCATTGAACATCCTTGAATTTGGTTGGAATTGGTGATTTAGTTCGGTTTTCTCTCAGGTGAGTCTTCCTATGTTGACTTCAGCAGCACTGCGACCCGAGCCTGGTACTCCACCTGCTTCAGTCTGGAGAAATACAAGGTGAAGATCCAAAACAGTCACTCTCCCGAACCGGATCTATGATCACAGCTCAGGTGTTCTGAGGATCATTTAGAGCATTCACAGTAGAATGTTTTGTGTCTGATGGAGGGGTCGACCTCCGTCCTCTTTGTATGGAACGACATGAACGAGCCGTCGGTCTTCAGTGGGCCGGAGCAGACGCTGCCGAAGGACGCGGTGCATCACGGAGGATGGGAACATCGGGATCTACACAACCTGTACGGCTTCTACCAGGTGAGCCTGCTTGCTCGGGTCAAGGTAAAATATTAGATGAACCTGGAGGGATGCTGACGCTACTGAAACGACTGCTGACGGTTGGCTCCTCATGGATGCTGTTTACAGGAAGTGTCAGATAAAACATGGGTGTGTTTCTGTTAACTGAGCTCGTCGAACGTCTCCTAAGGTGTCATGATGATCCTTCAGCATTAAGTGGCTAAACATTGAAGATATCCATTACATCGTTGTTGCTTCAGCTGTGTGAAGTCCAGTCAGCTGTCATCTCACAGCTTGTTAGCCATTTCAAACGGATCTGGAAGCTTTGCTCTGAACACAGAGCTCTGAAACGGCTCATTCTAGATCAGGGGTGTCAAACGTGCGGCCCGCGGGTTAAATCCGGCCCGCGAGATGGTTGTGTAAACTTTATTTTCATACTTTACAATGTAGAATGAAAATAAACTTATCAT